TATGGTCGCTTCCAGTACAGCTGCGGTAGCTACGGCAATGCCGCTGAGCTGCTGTACCAGTTCCGTGTCCTCTCCACCGACAACGACAAGGTTGCCTCCGCCACATGGGGTAAGCTCGCCTCGGAGATTCTGACCACCAGCTGGGATGGTGCTATGGAGGAGGTCCAGAAGGTCAAGGACTCCATCGAGACCCGTCTCTTCAACAACCCTCTGGGTCAGCTCCAGAACCGCTCCTGGTTGATCCACTGGTCTCTCTTCCCCTTCTTCAACTACGACCCTGCTCGCGATGTCCTGACCGACCTTTTCTTCTCCCCCGCCTACATCAACACCATTCAGACCAGCTGCCCCTGGATCCTGCGCTACCTCGCCGCCGCCGTCATCACCAACCGCAACCGTGCCCACAAGAACAGCAACGTCTACCAGAAGCAGCTGAAGGACCTGATCCGCGTTGTTCGCCAGGAGGGCTACGAATACAACGACCCCATCACCGACTTCGTCAAGGCGTTGTACGTTGACTTCGACTTCGAGGAGGCCCAGAAGAAGTTGGGTGAGGCTGAGGATGTGTTGCGGAGCGACTTCTTCCTCGTCTCGGCTACCGATGCCTTCGTTGAGGCTGCCCGTCACCTGATCTCCGAGAGCTACTGCAAGATCCACCAGCGGATCGACATCAAGTATGTTACCCAACGCGAAGGGCATACATTCAGAGCGTAACCGTGCTAACCGATATCTCCAGGGACCTGTCTACCCGTCTGGGTCTGAACCAGGATGAGGGTGAGAAGTGGATCGTCAACCTGATCCGCGACACTCGTGTCGACGCCAAGATCGACTACAAGGAGGGCACTGTGATCATGAACCACCCCCCGCAGTCGGTGTACCAGCAGGTCATTGAGAAGACCAAGGGTGCTTTCTTCCGCACGCAAGTTCTGAGGTTCGTCCAATACCCTGTCAAATCGACCCATCTCTATTGCTTGTCACTAACGCCAGGATAATCATATAGTGCTGCCGTTGCGAAATAAATGACACCCCCCACTTCTTGAAATTATACCGAAACAAGAAACTTTCGTCCTTTTACCGTTCTCTTCATGGTTCTGTTCATGTTAGTAGTATCTTCCGCCGCAGTGCGGACTTCCTGAAATGATGGGACCAAGCAGAGTGGCATCAGGCTGGCGTTCAGGTGGTCCACTATTCCTTTTTCTCTTTTTTTATCTCTCTATCTTATTTTCCCTTTTCTATTTACGTTTCGTGTCCCACTTTCCACCCACTATATCGTTTATTTCCCCCCTGTGTATCTCTTTATGATGTTTGACACCCTTCGGGATTTTGGTGTGTGTGATGACTCCCTTAAAAAGAAGAACGAAGTACCGTCAAAAATTCTATCCAACTATATCTGGACTTTTATTTTTGGGTCGACCAGAGGATGAAAAAAGGAAGGAAGAGAAGAGAAGAAGCAGGACCGGGGGTGTTTCCTTAAAGTGAGAGCAGTCCTTTGCACACTTCTGTCTTATTGGGATGTGTTTTCTCGTCCGAATAAGACGCCGTCGCTTGGTTACGTGTGATCGAGCTATGCTGTTACGAATGATCTATAGAGATGATGGAATTCAATTATCATTAACTCACTCAAAGAGACCGGCTGCATTATGGTGTATCGTAATTATTATAGAGCCGCGGTCCTCAAACCCTATCCCCCTCAGAATCCCAAACAATTACCAATCCTATATAGTAGTAACAAAAGGTATCTGTAAACTGAAATAAATAACCAAACCACAATATCCCCGCTATCCAAAGAACCCAAGAGCAAAACAAGCATCAAATCGATATCGAATATGACAACCCATCCCTCCCCTTCCCCCCTTTTCTTTCCCATCTCATATTCCAACCCCATTCAAACCCACTTCATCGACTCCGTCTCGGTTCATAATCCATCATCTGCGACGATGATGATGATGACAGCGGCGGTGGTGCCCTGCTTCTCCTCCCCGAACTCCTGACAGGCACAATCTCATTGATATAGGGTTCGTGTCTGCCGAAAGTGGCGGCTGCGGCGGCGGGGCTGGCTGAGTCACCTGCCATTCGGAGGGATTCTTGACGTTCGTATTCTCGGGACATGGTTGCTAGGTCGTCGATTTGTTCCTATTGATTCATATTTAGTTTAGTGTGGGGGAGGGCGAGAAGGGTATGAGGAGTAGGTGAGTAGGGACGGACGCACTCTTGTAAGTGGTACACCGACTATTAGGTAGCCGTCGCGTCCCTGGAGAGTTGTTCGGTTCATGTGTTAGAGAGAGAGAGACTTTGGTTCTAGGTGTTTTGTGTATGTGGCTGTGGTATATTGTCTCTACCTGGTATGAATATGGCCTGACGCTGGCTGATGGCCCTAGAAAGTATTGTATGTGGCCTAAGACTATATGACGGGACAGTCCGTATCCTGGGAGCCAGTATTGTTGGACTTGAGACATCTCCGTGAGGTTGTAGTGAGTTCAGTTAAGTATAGGGGAGTAAGTAGTGTGAGAAGTAGTAGTGATTGTGAGTGATGCAGTGCTGTGTTTGTGTTGTATACTAGATCTTGAACTGAATAGAGTGGACTACTTTCGATCATGACGACCATTCGATTGGAACTGGAACTCTCTTCTAGGGACCCCATATATATAGCTAGCTTCGGGTTTCTGGTCATGCAAGGAAAAAGGAAGAAGAAGATAACAAACGGACATAAGATTCATTCGTCACGCCTCGGTGGGTTCGATGTGGATGTGTCTCTCAAAGGTGTCGGAATGCCCTAGGGCAATGTGACTGTACATAGTGGGCTCCATCACTTAGGATGCTGATCAGCACGCCCGCCATCGGCCCAGCGAATTTTCTTCCAGTCAAGACTGCGCCTTTGCGAATGTGGCTTTTTACATAGACTCTTTTGCGAGCAAAATGGAACGGCTGCAAGGCCTGCTGCTCACGTCCGATTCCGGGGAAAACTCGCCTCACTCTTTCATCCAACCCCTTTGCGTCGGTAAAAGTGAGGCTTGGGCACCCCCCCAAGGGAAGACTGACAATTTCCGCAAATCGAAGGATATTGCGCCCACCTTCTCGCGTGCCTCTGTATTTGCACAGCTTGGCTATTCCTGCGGTGAACATGCACCACTGAAGTGGTCGGAGATGTAGGTATGTAGTAGAGTCTGTATGTGTGATGCCGTGGCTCCATGGACCGAGCGTTTCGGATGCAGCTAGTATGCTTGCTCGAAGTTTATTGGCGACTCCCCTAGATCTTGCAGCCCCAAAATGGTTTCGTACATTTCGGAATTTCTTGCGTCTCGAGTCCAGACGTCCTCATAGCCGGTGACACCTGCATGAGCCTGGAGCCATTTATACAGACCGGGTTGTTCGCAGATCTATGAGGCCATGCCATACTGTATCCCACTTAGCCGACCGGACTGTTTGTGCCCGCGGCTCTCAGCGGCAGCTTGAGTCATAGTGTTCGGCCCGATTACTTCTTGTTTTTATTTCCGGGGTCCTTAATTTGACCTGTAATCGCTCTGCAAAGTTTATCGGGGCTGTAGTCGGTGCTATCTGTATATCGGTGGATACAGCATAGTTGTCACCTAATGTCGCAGATTCCGAGGTCTAGACTAGAGATGCATCATCTGAAGGGGAACATCTAAGCGTCGTGGCATGATTGACCATGTAGCCTGTACCCACGAAATATCGTAGTACAGAGATTTATGCCTCGGAGTTCGTCTCAGACCGTTGATGCTGTCCTTGCTGGGCCGAGCTAAGCTTGACGATCGTTGAAGACAGAATGGGCAGTGACATGATCCTACAGGGAACTAGACCTGGAGGCCCATTGTTCCTTTCCTGTATAGCCAGTCTTCGCGGCGATATCTGTGGCCTTTAGCCTTAGCTAGGGGTCACCTGCATCAGGGCTTGGGCGACTCTGATTTGGTAGTCAGCCACGCTTGCATGAGCCGGTCTAGCTAGGCCATGTTCTTCTTAACAGGGCTTCGGCTTCCTCTTTTTCAGTCACCCATCAAGCTTTGCAAGCGCCGGAAAGTGACTGCCACTGTTGTGACTTGTGACAGCCCGGATATTGCAGACACAGTACACCTGGTATGGCTCACAAAATCGTATGAGGCTATATCCAGCCTAGCCATTGATTGTTGTGGGCATGGATATAGAGAAAGCGATGCGACATGGCAAACCGATTGGTCTTCAACTGAATAGTCAGCTGGAGGTGAGGCTTCACCTCACTCACCAAGCCTTAGATATTCGAAGCGCAGATGCCTACCTCTGCCATCGTTTGCCTGTGGACAGGGAAGGCTCTGTATTCTCCAATGGCGTCGCAATATCCACGAACTGGGCAGCTCCTTCCCTGCCTCAGATCGTTGCTTTTATTTGCCCTCTTATAGTGACTGCAGGTTTTATTCGGCAAGGGGCTGAAGGTGAGGCTGAAGAAAAGAGTTAGCACTTCCTAGATCAAGGAAAGATGATGATTACATCAGGAAATAAGCTCTCTAACTTACTCCCAGGTTTCTTAGAAGCGGATTGTGACCGAAGCAGAAGCTGCGATCTTGCGGCTACAGCGGGGCAGGAGAAAGAAATAAGGCGGCTGAGGATTGAGAAATCAAGATAGCAAGTGGACAGGAAGAAGGTGATTGCTTGACAGTGTCCCTGTCCTGAGGCGTAAGACCCACAAGTGATCTAGTCCTGGTCACAATCTCATCCCTGAAGATCTGCAGAGGTAGCTAGTGGGAACCTCGACAAGGCGACAGTGAGGCGTTCGGAGATTTAGAAAAGGAAAGTCAGGTGTGATGGAAATAAAGGCACAGAAGGGGAGCATTGAGCTCATCAAACTCATTCAACACGGTTCAGGATGGCTAGATTCACAATTTTCCAATGAATGCATCTTCACGCTTGCATCTTCACGCTTCGTATATTATAGTCTATACTCTTTTCATGACTCGTCCAAATAAACAACGTTCGCAGCAAATCTTAGATTGAAAACTCTCCGCTAATCCGCCTCAGTTGCCCTCCGGGGGTACATACGGGTTCACAAGCATGTCGCTGAATCTGTGGACTGGTTAGCAATCCTGATACTTCTCACAACCGGATATCTAGGGGGCGACGTACTTCTCAAGCTTCTCCTTGCCTCTGACTTCCTCAACCAGCAATGGCATCCTGACCACGTTGAAGTCTTCATACAACTCTTCAATCTGCTCCAAATACTTCTTCTGCATCTTCCTTCGTGCATTACATTGTTCGCACTCGCTGCTTTGCTTGGGGAACAGGAGCTGGTTGACCACAATGGCATGGGTATCGATGTTGTAGCTCGTGAGCTCCTGAATCATACGCTCGGTTTCGTAGAGGGACAAGAATTCCGCGATACAAACACAGACGAAGGTAGTCAGATCAGCGTCCTTGAACTGCGAGTTGACTTCGCTGATAGTCTCTCTCAGCGACTCCATCTTCTGCAACAATTCATCGATGTTTTGACCGCCGGGCAGACCGCCACGAGAACCAAGGATCGAGTTCAACATGGGACCAAACTGAGAGGACAGCTGCGACAGCTTGGCGAGAGCCTTCTCTAGGACAGTAGGGAACTGGAGGAAGCGGAGGGTGTGACCGGTCGGCGCAGTGTCAAACACAATAACTTCGTAGGACAGCGACTTGACCTGCTTCAGGACTTCGGCAAAAGACATAGCTTCATCAACACCGGGGATCTGCTCCTATTAGCCTTTTTTCCAACGAGAGCAATGTTATTCTGCTGGTCAGCACTGGTGTGTGACGTACACTGAACGCAAGATCCTGCATCATTCCACCAACACCCATACCAGACAGAGGGTCGTCGCCCTGGCCTTCACCACTAGCCAGGAGATCTTGAATACTGCCGTTAGGGTCGATCTCCATAGCGCTCAGATTCGAGTATCCATCGACCAGCCGGGCCTCCTTTCCGAACTTCTGACCGAAGGCATCGCTAAGGTTGTGCGCGGGGTCGGTGGAGATGAGGAGGACAGATTTGCGAACTTTGGCAAGCTGAATTGCAAGAGAGCAGGAAGTCGTAGTCTTGCCGACACCTCCTTTACCGCCGACAAAGATCCAGCGCAAGGTCTTCTGGTTCACCACCGACTGGAGCGTGGGCTCCATGAGGTCGTCGCTGTGCACAACGGCGGAGGACATGTTGCAAACTCGTTGAGATTATTATCGGAATTGATTCGATGTCTGAGGAGGGTGCGATTGAGTGAGCTTCCTCGTTAAAGAGGCAGTGTCGCGATATTGAAGCTTGGACTTACCACGTATCGGTTCCCCGCAGAGGCCCAAAACTTTCAGTAGTGGCGGTTAGACAAGTTCGAGAACGTTCTCGGTAAGATAGAGTCACCCGAGCACTGGCGTGAAACAGGCCTACTCAGGTCCAGATGAGCGCGGTAGGAAGGTGCTGAAGATTCAGGTACAATCACTCTAGTGAATCATGTGCAGCGCCAAAGAAAAGCGTTTCCATTCGAGCCGGTGCAACACGCACGTGCGGATGCCATCATTTCTCTGCCTGAGGCGACCCCACCCGTCAATAAAGTGACATAATGCCTCATTTCTCTGAGATAATCTTGATTACTTATCTGTGTAAATCTAATCGAGTCGGCGGCTCTTTGTCGCTTTCCACGGACTCAATTATGAAGCTATTCGTTTTGCGACCAGCAACCCATTCCTACCAACCGAGTTCAGATAAACAGCTAATGGTCATTTCCAGCTAGCTTCTGTCTGCGTTTAGAGGCATTGAAAAGCAGTACAAGATTCTATGACACTACACCATTGCAGCAACCTGACATTTACAAGAAAGAATAAGCGGACATCTCCACTTAAAAGATTCTGGCTTGTTCCCGCATGATAAAAGCCGGGTCTTGCGTTACAGAAGTCTAGGTTAGTCAGATCGACGGACACCATGAACCCCAATCGTTACTACTACTTGGTATCGTAGCATCCCAAGCCGGGGTTGCACACACATACACACACACACACACATCCTCATATCAAGATTGATCAGCTAGTGGGTTTGGAACTCTAAGTTCAATCCAGGGGCACTAAACAGATTGGAGCTGTTGTAGTGCTACGGGCTTTTGGGACCACCCCCGAGTTACCCCACCGATGGTATACTCCGGCATCCCAGGGTAGCTCTGTCGGTGCTCTCCGATGCATGAGAAGCGGAGATAGAAAAAGCCCCTCGCGCGCTGAACACTCTCGAGACAATTTCTACTTTTCTCTCAGTATCTGAAATAATTACCTATAACCTACCCTATTCTCTCTTGATGGACCCTAGCTCGGAAATCAAGCCGTCAAGTGGTCAACTGGATAAAGTCACAGACCGTCTTAGCCTCTACCGCAACCAACTCCTCCAATCCCCGATCCACTCTACAGCACAACCCTTCAACAACTACAACGCAGCATCGACCCTCCCCCAAAATACCACCGCAATGTCTCGCGACCCCATTACCTGTCACGTCCTGAACACCCTGACGGGTACTCCCGCGGCGAACCTCCCAGTGACACTCACCCTCCTATCTGCACCCTCCAGCAGCAGCCAGAGTCCCATCACTTTCCAGGCGACGACCGACGCAGACGGACGAGTCAAAAACTGGGAACCCACCACAACTTCATCGTCCGCTTCGTCGGTCCCCGCTATCCTTTCTGCACTCCCAACTGCCGATAGCAAGACAAATTGGTCCGTTCGCTTTGACGTTGGTCCATGGTACGAGGCACAAGGAGTTGAGAGTTTCTGGCCCGAGGTCGAGGTGAAGTTTACGGTCAAGGGACGGGGCCGGGAGGGAGAAGAAGGATGGCGGCATTATCACGTTCCCGTGCTGTTGGGACCCTGGAACTATTCGACTTATCGCGGCTCATGACGAAGAGATACCTAGAATAGAAGGCATGGGGCGATTGTGTACGGATAGGACAGAATAGGATAGGATGGGATCTTAATCTTATCGCTGCCGACTACCTACTATTAAATTACTTAAGTTATTTTATCGTGGAGAGCGCCCCATGCATCCCCATACTTATGACGTATCTGGAGAAAAAGCTGAAACCATTCCATGCACGGCTCAATAGTTTTGTGACATGCCATTGATAATGGGGTCGCAAGCTTAATAGGGGATGTTAATTGCTACCCCCCTACAAACTCACTAAAGGTTAATCAACACCGAAGATGAGAAATATGGCGCAATTTCACAACCTTCTTCCTATTTCACGTCTGTGCGAGCGATGGCAGGCAATGGGATTAAATTAAATTGACCTAAATTGCCAAGAAACACGCACAGTTATCATATCCTTCGAAATAACCATAACCATAGCTATAACTACCTACACCAACAGTCCGCGATCTAGACTTTTCAACCAACTTCTCGGAAAGGCTTGCATGGGCAACCGCTGAATTCGGTGGCTGCATAGGCAAAAAAGGCTAAATTATGGTGAAAACAGTACTTGTGTGTTAGGTGTATCGACTAGCGTGAAGAGCGACAGACAAACCCCGGACAAGCCAACACATTTTGTTGTGCTGAGGGGTGGGAAAGAAGGAAGAGGGGGAAAGGATCAATTTGTTGTCACTTCGGCTAGCGCAATTAATCTATGATATGTCCCATAAAACTTGGGACTATACCTTTTTGATCATGCAGCTGAGATGGAAGTGCACCGCAGCTGTAGATACTTTCACTAGTATTGAAGCCGTTGGGCCTAAATACTCCCTTATCAAAAAGTACCGAACGACAGGGGAAATTTTTTTTCATGCACTTTGAAGGTGGTGAAGTACCGGGTACATCACATACAGTAAGTGAGTGATTCTTTGAAGGTACATGTGCATACTTATGTGCAGGAGACTTTGGCAATGATGCAACGCATAAAAAGAAATTATACTATCACCGGAGGTACAGTGAATACTGGACTCCTTTCAATGTCGATAATGATGGAATGTTTCGACAGGACTGGTTTCGATAGGACTGGTAACGAACATATTGACCTGTAGCACTATCATGTACTGTCTGGGGAACGCAGTACCACTGCCAAGGCCTAAACGAGACGCGAACTGACAGTTTGTAGGGGCCTTCTCAAGCCTAATAATGTGGAGGGGGGGCGCCGTATACTCTACTCCGAACCTTCTTGTCCAGTCCACCATTCAACCGTGTAGCCTGTACCACACACGGGGAGCAATGGAATAGATTGTCCAGAATCCAAGTGGCAATCCACTAGATTCCTTCATCCTTGTTTTGGGCCCCAAAGAGATCGCGCGAGACACTCTCACGTGATGGATACCCACGGGACGAAGGCCCTAGAAGTATTGCGTCATCAGCAGGGACCCAATCAGCAAGCGGACGTGTCACTCGATGTCCCGAGCGAGACTGATTGGAACAACACTTCCCCCCCTGAAATGAGAAAGAACGAACCCAGAATCCGGGCAACGGCGATAAGAGAGCCGAGGATTGGAAGGATTTCCTTGTTGGACCCGAAATCTATGTATCTCCAGATTTGGGCGTTGCTCCATGGGCCATTCAGGGAGGATATCGATGGCATGGAAGTGGCATCGACCATTCGAACAGACGAAGATCCCTCACCGCCCTGCGGCCGGACAAACATGGCGTCGTCTCCATGATTCGTTCACCCGCTCGAGATTGAGACTCTGCAGGGCGGGGGCTCGGAAACGGGCCCGTGAGTGGCTGGACCAAGTGGATGCGCTGGTACATTAGTGGTCCTTTGGAAAGGTGCGCGAGTGGCCACTGCCGGCTGGTCCGACTGTCCGACAAGCCCAGGAAAATTCCTGTCGTCGTCACCGTGATCTCATTCATGGTTTTCCTTTACCCCTTCCTAACTCTTTCGCCCTTAACCAACTTTCCCTCTTCTGCCCCCGATACATTTCGTTGACCAGTTTGTGGTTACAAGTGCTTCGAATCCAAAGCTTTAAACTTTTGGGCAACCTCTTCGTGTACTTTCCACACATCCCTGGATAGCGACCAACATTCTTATACCTTTGCAATTTTCTTTCCTCGGGACCCGGAAGTGTGTCATACTATCTACTACCACTTTCTTATTAGGTTGAATTTGCCTATCGTTTCCGCCGTCATCCAACAATCGCGTCCACCCGGGTTATTCTTTGCTTGGATTGGCTGACAAGTACTGCCGGGAATCCACTCCGTCTCCAAGTTTCGTTTTTGCAAGTAAGGGCCAGCCAGCATTTCGCCTGCATAATCATACAGTGCCTGGTCATTTACTCTAGGGTAAGTTGTTCTTTTTGATTTGCTGTTTTTAGTTTTCGGTGCTTTTTTTTTTCTTACCTCGCCTACCCTTTATTCATTTCATTTATTTTTTTGGGCGAGATTCTGTTGCGGAGTTTCAATATTCCTGCTTTGAAATCAAAAATCATAGGGTGGATGAAGCAAAAAGAAAAAAATACGGAAGAGAAAAGAAAAATACAATTCTAAACAGGAAAGAGCAGCAAGAACAAGATTGGTTCCGAATACAGAACCAGAACCGAAGATAAGAATTAAGAAAAAAAAGAAGAGCGAAAAGAACCTCAAAAGAGAAAAATAGAAGGGGAAAAAAAAACAAAATCAAAAGAATAGAAAAGGAAAAGAAAAGAAAAATTCTTTTTTCGAAAAAAAAAAAAAAAATTCCATGTTAGTGGTTTCGAGGTTGCACTCTGGCTGGTTGGTAACCCGCGGGCTTTTTGTACTCTCAGGGTTGCATGGTTTCGGCGTGACAGACAGTCGAGACCAAATAGGCATAGCGTGGCTCGACGGCCACTCGACCGCCTCCCCTCTTTCTTTTCCCCCCTAAATAATCTCCCTGTCGAAGCCCGGACTACGTCACAACTTTTTCCTTTCCCTTCCCCTTCCTCTCTAACACGATCTACTTCTGTCTGAACTGCCGTGTACTCGCTCAGTGACCTCTGGGTACAGGCGTTTGCGCTGCAGTATCTCCAGCTCTCCGAAGCATCAACAACTTATCGCGTTTTACTAACTTCAATCAACCAGCTTTGTCTCTTTTTAACTTCCCATTCCCGTACCCCTCCAGTTGTTTTTTTCTTGTTCAGCGTCCGTCCCCGTCCTTATTCTTCTTCGTGTCCTCGCCACCTCCGTCCGCTCGCTTGGCTATTTTTTTCCCTTACATCCCCGGGGTCACCTGTCGACCTCCCTCGATCTAATATATCGACACCAACCAAAATATCTCCCCCCCTCCTCCTTTCTTCGCTATTATGTCTGCGGCTGTTACTTCGACCGTTTCGACCAGTCTAACTAATCATACCGATACTCGTAATTCTTCCCCAATGGGTGCGAAAAAGGCGGGTCTAGACGAAGGTGAGTGAGTGTTGTGCATCTTTAAAAAAAAAACTGTTTCGATCCTTCGTTTTGCGCGCGCGCGGAACTCTGGTACCTCCCATATTTCAAACTCCCGAATATCTGCTGTATCTTGCACTTCCTTACTTCATCATCGACCCTTGACCTGTTCTGGCCTGGTTGTACGCCACTGTTCCCCCAAATGTTCTGTTGACTACCCGCCGCCGTCGGGATGACCTCACAATTGGCGTCATCGATGGGGGTCACTGTTATCAGATCCCCTTCCTCTCAAACTTCGGCCTGGACCGCCTTATTTGGCCAACCTCTTTCTACCTACCCCTGTTTCAGATAACCTCACTGTCGCGTACTCCATCATCATCATTATTATCATTATTACTATTGTTGTTGTTGGTCGTCATACTAACGCGCACATCTGCTCCGGATACAGACTCCCGGGCGACCTCTTCGGATCTCAAAGATACCAAGCCTGATGTAGATCCTCAGACCTCGTTGGCGCCGCCTCCGCGACCAGCCATAACAAGCGCGACTGATACCCCCGATTACTTCAATTCCGTCCACAACCCTTTCTCTCTGGAACCCAATCCCTTCGAGCAATCTTTCGGCAGTGGTGGTTCCTCGGGCGAAACACCCGGAAAGTCGATCCTTCCTCCTGTTGCAGCACTTACTTCACCTGCCCTGCCGGGCACAAGTTCTGCCGGCGGCGGCTACGGCTGGTCCAACTCTCTGCGCTCCGGGCCGCTGAGTCCTGCTATGCTCGCCGGTCCGACTGGCACTAGCGATTACTTTGACAGTATTGGCAGGGGTTTCCCTACGCCTAACGAGTCTTCTCTCCGCACTGGATTGACACCGGGCGGAGGGGGGTCTATGTTTCCCGCTCCTAGTCCAAACTCTCAGGCACTTCTGCAGCAGTTGCAGAGTGGTGGTGCGACACCGTCGACTATCGAGTTCCACCGTACTGCTCTCAACGCTGCCAAGAAGAACAGCTTAGGTGGTCCAACCTCTAACCCCACTTCCGAACCTGATCCAGCGACGCAAAACTCCAATATGGATATTAAGCCGAACCAACCTGCAGGTTCCGACCCATTCGGTCATCATGACGCTGCCGATGCGGCCAACGGGCTTTTCATGCTGGCCAAGGGCGGACAGGCGAATCCCAATCAATTCGCTGTGTCGAACCAAGCTTCGATTCAGCCACAGAGTATTCAGGCCAATGACCAGCAACTTGAATCTGGCGCTGATAGACGTAACTCGCAAAACATGAACGGTGTATCAGGCAGAGAGACCAGCGGCGACGCTTCCGACATGCAGGGTGAGCAGACGAAGCCTGCTGCCAAGGGCAAAGCCAAGAAGAACACTGGTTCCAAAGCCAGCACCGCAGGAAACAACAGGCGCAAGGCTGAAGATGCACCTAAAGGGTCAAACAAGAAGGCCAAGACGAGTAACGGGTCTGGTAGTGTTGAGCCTCCTTCCGATGTCGGGGATTCTGAAGATGATGAAGATGATATGAAGAGGAAAAACTCGACAGACACGAAGAAAATGACTGACGAAGAGAAGAGGAA